AGAGATAAATCAAGTTGGGTGGAGCTGGCTGTGTGGGGGCTGAGAGGGCCAACAGGAAGTGAATTATGTGGATTTGTCAGACGAGCGTTTTGAGATGTTATCAGTCTGATGTGTGCGAGTAAAAACAATCAGTCCTGCCTCCTTGGAGGTTTGCTGCTGTGAATTTACCTGGTTTGAATGTTATCAGCCAATAAATGGCCCATTATCAGTTGTTATCCTCATATGTAGCGTTCAGACTGCCCCTTCTGTACCTCCTAGTGGGTACGTTGTTCATTCAACCTTTATTTATACAGGTTAATCCCATTGAGCCTCGGGGACTCATTTACAAGAGAGACCTGAATTTTTTTTAACAAGGCGTGATGATAACAGTGGACTACAACGACAAGAATAGACAATCATAAAAGATGCGTACAAATTTAATTATTTTTTAACAAGTTAAAATAAAATGGCAACCCAAAAGGAAAAATAGCAAAAAAAAAACAGCTAGATTATAAGGCGGTGTAGAAAACTAAAAACAGGAACATGTCTGCATTGTTTTTTGTCAGGAACTTGACAGATGTTTGAAGTCACTTAGAGAGGTCAAGGTCGAGAGCTTCAGGTCTTTTTGTAAGATATTCCAGGAAACAGGAACGGAGTAGGAGAAGGCCCTTTTGCCAAGTTCAGTCCTCACTGAGGGAACACTGCAGGTAATAATGTTCTGAGAGCGCACGCTGTAGCTGCACTCACGCAGTGACATGTAGGAGGAGATGTATGAAGGCAGCAGACCAAGAAGTGATTTAAAGATGAAAATGTACCAGTGAGAGAGTCTGTGTGAAGTTAATGATGTCCAGTTAACCAGTGAATACAGGGTGCAGTGGTGGGTACGACAATCACATCCAGTTATGAATCTTAGTGCACCATGATAGACAGCATCCAACATCTGCAGGGTTCTTGTAGGAGCGTTCATGTAAATAATGTCACCATAATCAATGGATTTCTTATTTATTTATAGGAATCGACAAACTCAGTAGGGACACCATTTGAGGGCGGCTGTAGCTGAGTGGTTAGAGCAGTCGTCCTCCAATGCGAGAGTTGGGTGTTCGAATCCACCAGCAGTCACATGCTGAAGTGTCCCTGGACAAGACACTGAATCCTTCATAGCCTCCGATGTGTGTCCCATCAGTGTATGAATGTGATAAAGCTCTGATTAGTCTATTTAGAATGATTTGTTCAATTAGCTTTGTAGATATCTAGTAGAGTGTTGTGTGGATGGGTGAATGAGGGCACAGATTGTAGGTAAAGCACTTTGAGTATCTTGAAATAAGATAGAAAGGCGTTATATAAGTACAGTCCCTTAACCAAAATCAGAGGAATAACTGCTGGGACCGACTTCCTATTTGAAAAAAGCATTCCTTTGGTTTTGTCGGTGTTTAGGACAAGTTTGAAATGGAGCACGTCTGATTGAATGGTGTCAAAAGCAGACTGCAAAAGCTGGAAAGCCTTAGCAACTGTTTTAGCTCAACAATAAACAACTGTGTCATCAGCATAGAAATGTAAGTATGCATCAGGGATGTTTTGATCTACATTACGTATGTAGATTGTAAAGAGGGTGGGTCCTAAGACTGAGCCTTTTGGTACACCACTGTTTACTGTTAAATAACTAGAGGAAATGCCATTATGCTGAACACATTGCCTCCGATCTGAAAGATAGAGAACCAACAATGGTATGATCTGAGAAACCAATTTCTGAGAGCGTATAACACAAGATGTTATGATCCACACTGTCAAAAGCTTTTAAATAAAGTGCAGCACAATAATCCTTAGCATCCAGTGCTTCAACAACATCATTAAAAACCTTCAGTGAAGCAGTGGTTGTGCTGTGTTGTTTCCTGAAACCAGATTGGTGGGGAGGTAAGATGTTAAATGAGTCCAAATACTTTTTGATTTGAGAGGCAGCGTTGTTAGCGCTGATAGGCTCACGTGGTTAGGTTCAGAGTAAAAGGTAAGGGGGTTAATCTAAAAAAAGTTAAATCTGGTCCTCTGGACATTCAAAAAAAAGCAAAACAACAAAAAGATGTATAAACGTTTCGTCTCTCATCCGAGAGACTTCCTCAGTCTGAGGTGCTGTATTCAGCTCAGTCTCTTAAATAGCACCTTCTCAGAGTGGATCAACCAGTTTGCTGCTGACAACCAAAACCAGCTGATCACATGCTCAAGAAGGACCATCAGCCTA